CACCAGGGACGTCCAGTGTCTCTGGTGCTGGCTGGCCGAGGATGGTGTGGAGCTGTTGGTAATCCTGCCCCCTGGCCCTCACTGACCCTGATGTAGCCCAGGCGCAGCTCTTTGACTTTAGCCCGGACTTGCTCCAGGGTCCAGGCTGGATGGCCCTGCTGGGTGAGAGCCTGCGCCATGCGGGAAAAAATGTCTGCGTTCCGGCTCCGGGAGCGGGTCTCGTGCAGGGCCTCCTCCTCCCGCCAGAGGTCCAGGAGGGCTTCCAGCTCCCCCGGGGACCAGGATGGGGCCCTTCTTTTTCTGGCCATGGGGGCCTCCTTTGCTGGCGGCGCGGGTGGCTGCTCCCCACCTGGAGCTGCCATCGTGCTTGGGGGGTGTCTGCTAGATAGCAGGGGCCACGTGGCAGAGCTGTGGCCAGAGGTCGCAGAAGGGCTTCTGCCTTGTGACCTCAGCAGCCTGGGTCTGCTTTAAGGGGGCTCGGGTTACCAGGAAGTCCGAGAGCTGATTGCCTGCGGAGCCTCCGAGTGTCCACTAGGGCTTTTTTTCCATTTAGCCTGCTTTTGTGCAAAAACATTTCCTGTCTACACTGGCCCTTTTGCGCAAAAACATTTCCGCAAGAGGGCTTTTTCCTGAACGGGAACGTCAAAGCATTTGTGTAAGAAGCACTGATTTCGGACAGTAGAACGTCCGTATATCTTGCTAGTCTAGATGCACCCCCTTTGTATCCGATAGGTCACTCACCATGCAGTTCCCCCAATCACCACAAACCCAGCTATTTGTACTTCTAAGAATTGAAACCAGCATCACTATGACCCAGCTTTTCCTAATTACAGAAGTCCCCTCCCTTGAAGAAGTATCCTCAGTGCAAAAAGGTATGACTGAATCTGGAGGCAGGGTCCTAATCATGTGATCATTTCTCTCCACTTCAGTTTAATGTTCTCCTTTCCTGAGATTTTCATCCTCCTCAACAGCATAGAGGCTGTCAGCGCATGAAGTGGCACCTTTCTACTGCATCCCGGAACATCTTTTGTATGTTTCTCTCTCTCAGTTCCTCCAGTTCAGCCACTCTAGTTTTCAGAGTGGTCTCTGAGGACCATGAGCTGCTTGCATCAAATACACACACGTCACCTGCCCCAAAAGCCGGTATGCAACCACACATGGAGCATTTAGTATAATGAATGGCAGCCCCTCACTCTGGTGCTGGACGTCTGCCTGCATTATTTTAGTTCTTATCCGGCTATTTTATTTTTTACTTTGAGGGGGAAGTTTATTGGTCTAAATTTAGAGACTGTTTATTTGGTGTATCTGGCTTTCATGCTCCCTCACAAAATTCACCTCTCTGATGCTCATTAACTCCTCTGGTCAATTAGGAGCTGAATATTTAAAACCGTGTTCTCCCAGATGTAGGCTTACCGCCTTGTCATGCTAATTGAAATATAAGACATAACATTGAATTTGTACTTTGAAACCTGTCATTTTGGTAAGGAAATCTCTAATCTAAATCCAGTGACACTTAATTTGAATATGAAGTATTCTGTTGTAATTTCTGTATGTTTTAGAGAAGGTTTAAGAAGATTTTTAGTAGCGTGTTTGTGATTGTATTAAGCAAGCTGAGAACTCTGTATATCATATCCTGGACTTTGATTAACATTATTTAATGTTGACCAGTGTCTGGCTTATGTTAACCTTTGGTTAGTATAGTCTATCTAAATTAATACACAATTAAACAACTGGAACAGTTTTTAAACCTAGATGTGTCATTGCTGGCAGTCTTTGGACTGAAGTATTGTGAAGCTTCATAAGTAGTAGTAATTCATTCAAGTATCCTCTCATTTTCCTGCTGTTGAACAAATCAGTTTTGCATATTTAAAATCCTTTCTCAAACTAAGCCAAATCTTGCATTAAAATGTACTTGGAAATCCTGCACTTTCCTGTACAGGGGAAAATCCCACTTTTTACCCCACAACTAGCTTTGGAGGAACCCAAAGGCAGTGGAGCCAATGTTCTGCTGCACACATGAGATAAGATGTTGGCAGCTCTATTCAGGCTGTAGTCAGAATCCCCTGTATGCTGAGCTACTGATTCCCCAAGACCAGAGCATGCCAGGATAATTTGGGAGTTGGAAGGACGTGTATTGCATACAGTCGGGTTTCTGCAGATGGGTTAAAAGCAGGGACTCAAATGTTAACACAGACAGAAAGTGTCTCGAGAGGCACCAAAACAGGTCATGTTTTAAAAACAAGTTGTCTATACCTTCTTTCTTTCATGGTTTCCCCCTCTATAAAATACATTTTGTACTTACTAATTGTAAGTGCATGCAATGATTGTGCCTGTCTGTTTGGGTGGGTAGCCACATAGGAACTCCTGCTAACTCAGGGATAGAAATTTGTTCAGCAGCTTTCTTTTATAGCTGGGTGTGTGGTCATTTTGTGTTTTACATATTTGTGATTTTTTAGATTGATGTCATACTTTGGAACTGGGGGGAGGGAAGGTCCCAGAGAAGGATTTATTATGAAGTGAAATTTCTGAAATCGCTTTAGTTGAGGAATACTGCCCACTGCTTTAGTACAGTTTAACAATTTCCTTTCACATAGTTCATTCTGTTTAATATGAGATATAAATTGTAAACTGTCCTTTTGCTTCCTAAGGGTTAGTTTTGTTGCCTCTCTTTTACTCTTACAAAGAATTTTTATGCATCTCTGTTGTGAGTGTTAGCCACTTTTTAGAAATCTAACAAATTCTGTCTTTATTGGTCCGGCTGCAAAATAGAGACAGTGAGAACAAATAAACCATTGGAATCTGTGTGTTTGAACTTAGAGGGTACATTCCCTACTTAACACCCTAAGTATTTCCCACACAAATGACACTAAGAAGAATTAGGCCTAACTGTGATATAGTAAGGAAAGGAAGTCCCTGTGGGATTCTTCAGTAAGACTTTCACAGCTTCACTCCGTTTATATTGTCTTCTGGGGAGTTTCTTCAGAGATTGTGGAAGTAAGGTCTAACATGACATTAGGGATATTCTCCCATGAATCCCATGACCGATACTGAACCAGAGAATTTGCAGAACCAGTATGGTCTAGCAGCATTACCAACACTTCCATTGCTTACTGGGTTGTTAGAATATATTTAGGGGCAAATTAGAGGTAAATAACACCACAGAACACTGAGAGCCAGGACTGGTGTCTCTAAAGAAAGGTGCAAATGAGGGAAATAAAGTTGGGAGGATAATTGGAGTGGGAGCTGGTCAATAAGTACTGTAGAAATGGGAGGAATAGTTAGGAGCAGAGAGAAAATGGATTTTTGAATCTGCATAGAAGTCAGTGACTTCTATGAGTATAGGATAGGAGGCCCTTTATAGAAGAAAGATGGCTACAGTGGAAGTAGATAAGTAGATTAAAAAGTCTGTTTATGGGAGAAAATGTTGATTATTTCAGTTGGAATCAACCTAAAGAGCCTCTGACTCTTATCTATCCATGTAAAAGGAGATGAGTTTTATTTTTCCCATGACTCTCCAATTGCAGCTTCTCTAACTTTATGGTCAATATCTGTGCAGGGTTAGTTCAAAAGTTTGTCTTAGTACTTTATTCTATTCAATCTGCAGCAAGCAGCTTCAATAGAAACAGAAGAGAAGTTTACAATGGGAGAAAAAAAGTAAGGAGCATGTAGAGAAGGTTGCTATGTAGACTGCCAAATGTGTAGCTATGTCCTGGGTAGCACAGTGTATTTGGCCTGATCATCCCTGGTCATTTTTGAGATTCTAAACTCTTCTCCACAGCAACCTACTATTCAAAACCCCAAAGCCCGCACTAAATTCCTTCCTGGCTAGCAACGGTTAATTGGTTCAGGGAATTGTTGGTGCATTTCTTGGTGGTATAAATGTAAAACCTTTTGTGTAATCAAAATGATTTTATTGTATTCTAGGTGAAACAATGAGAATTGCCTCCTCAGAGTTTGCTGATGATCCATGTTCCTCCGTGAAACGAGGCACCATGGTGCGGGCTGCTCGAGCATTACTGTCGGCTGTTACTCGCTTACTCATCCTGGCTGATATGGCTGATGTCATGAGGCTTTTGTCCCACCTGAAAATTGTATGATCTTTTAATTTTCTACACTCTTTTTCTTCGTTTAAGATGTGTTGAAATTCTGAATTACGAACAGACACACAAAAGTCTGAGTTTCACAACTTTTCTATTGTTGTGGTTGCCTGTTCTTATGGAAGCAGTAAAGTAGGACTAAAACATTTCTACTTTTTAGACCCTTATGCTTTCAATCTAAATGGATTAATATGTTTCAGAGTGCTAAAATCAGCAATGCTAGGTACTTCTGGTAGATTGTATTTGTACTGTTGTTGTATACCATGCTGGATTAAAAATCTACATTTAAACCACAAAATCCCTGACAATGGTTTAATAACCCACAGTAGTTATACAGTATTGCTATCTTGTGGCAGAATTTAAGTACTGCATTTTGGTTACGCCATGTCTTTTTGGTGATTCAGTCTGACTACTGAATGTATCACAAGAGTGGAACACTGATAAGGACAAGAAACAGGGTAAATGTCTAATAAGTATTTAATAATAATAATAAATTCTAATTAATAATAAAACATAGAGGGGATATGTAGAATAGCAACTGATTTGCTGTAGCTTTGTACTCTACTTTTGCTGTTGCCTGCCTACCTGTTTGTGAAGGCATACAACACAGCATTTTGTAATTGCAACTACGATAGATTTTTCTGTTCATCTTTATAACATGCCATTTTTTGCTAATCTGAGGGAGAGAAAAGAACAAGAAAAAGCAACAACAAAAACTTCCACCACTCTATGGTGTAAAAATTCATATATAGAATGTTTAAACCTTTCTTTATTTTACTGATAAATGGCCAAAAAGGTACCCTCCCCCCCTTTTTGTGTAAATTGTAGATATTGTTCTCTTGCAGAGATGTATGAGAACGTTTAGCCTGGGATGAGATTGTAGGGACAAGATGTAATCCTTTGAAAACAGAATCTACAATGAAAAATGGCAAATGCTTTTCTGTACAATGCTAGAAAGCACTGCTTTAATGAATGCAGTGCTATTGTAGTAAAATGTCAGCACATTTGCTCTGTGATTACATGCTGTGTAAGCAGCGTGACTCTGGAATATGCCTTCATTTTTTCAACTTAATAATGAACAACATTCTAATACAAATAATCCTTTGTCAGTGGAGACTTTCTGACTTTTAATTTAGCACTAACAGATCTCCTGTGAGTACATACATTTCAAATTCTTTTTCAGACTATTTCAAATGAGAAGAGATAATTTGTTTTGATATCTGAGCAGAATCCAGATTTTTTTATTTTTATTTTTTTGGCTTTCTGTGTTGATAAATTCCTTTGTTAGTAAGTAGTGTGATACACTGCTTAGAGTAGCATTCTCCACATGATCTTTTGTAAATGGATGCTGTTTAGTAATTTTCTTATATCATTTTTGTCTCTGGATTTTTGAGGCAGCCTATATCAATATTTTCTGCCGCTTTTGCAAACCACCCAAGAAATTATTTCAAAGAACTTGAACCCTTATTTTGATTTATTTTTGTCTCCTGTGCTTTTTGTTAAGATTGTGTTTAAGCACTTGGAAGTTGAACTTATAATTATGAGCCTATCAGAGGGCAGCAGGCCAGTAGTTCAGCAGCTTTGAGTGTGTGTCATCAGAAGCAAGCAGTAGATCTAAGAGTTTATTATAGCAAAATACAGAAAAATTACAAAGGTAAAGAAAAATGTGAACTGTAATGCAGTTCTACAACTATGAGGCTCAAAATACATATTTTAAATTTTGCAATGAAATAGTTTGAAACAGTATAATGACACATAGTCTAACTTTCAGAGGCTCTGAGCACCCATACCTCCCACTAATTTTTCTGAGGAAGTCACTGTGAAAATCAAGTCACTAGAGTAAAATCTGTAATAAAACCTGGGAAAGTTCTGTTCAGTAGGAGTCTGGCAGAATTTACAAAGATGTCTTATTTGGTATGTTTGTCATGGCTATGATTGTCATGATAAAAATGTAGGCAGTGTAGTTGTAGATGTGTCCGTCCTAAGATATTAAAAATACAAAGTGGGTCAAGTAATATCTTTTTATTGGACCAACTTCTGTTGGCAAGGGAGACACTTTGAAGAAACACAGATCTCTTCAGATCTGAAATAAGAACTCCTGGCATCACAGCAACATGCTAAGTAGAACATATTATTTAGCAAAATTAAGTTGTTAGCAGAAAATGTAAGGGACCATTTCCGCAGACAAAGGCACCAACACAAAGTGGCACCAGCCCCTATCAAAACAATGGATGCAAAACTTAACAGCTGTATCTCCAATGCTAACATAAATAACAGAAGCCCACTGCACAACTTCTAAGACCCCTATATCTTACACACCTATTGCGCCGTGTGCTATTGCTCCTCAGAGCAGTTAATGCCACAATAACAAGTATGTGAGTGAAACCAAACAATCACTACTCTCTCAAATTATTCATGTTCATTCTGTGAGTTCAAGACAGAACCACCCCATCACCTGTGAGTGAACACTTCATAAAGCGATCCTTTTATATCCGACCTTCCAGTCCTCATCCTTAAAGCAAACATCTATAGCACTTTCAGAAGGCTACCCTGGGAACTGGAATTCATTAATCTGTGAGTCACCAACAATCATGAACTGAACAGAGAGACTGGATGTATAGTTTATGACAACAATCTGTAACCCAGTACCCCTATCTCTTTCTCCTATGACCTGCAGAAGTGATAATAGAATGTGTATAAACTACTTATGCCAACCAATCTGTTCCACTCTGCATTTTGCTGTGGTGCTGGGAGTTCCTTTTCCAGCCCTGAAGAACTCCTCTCTGGGTAGGTCTACACAGCAGAGACAAGTCCATGGCTGGCCTATAGCAGCAGTCTCAGGCTTGCAGGTCTCAGGCTGAGGGACTGTTTCACTGCTGTGTGGACTTTCAGGCTCACGCTGGACACCAGGCTCTAGGACTCTGCAAAGTGGGAGAGTCTTAGAACTTGGGCTCAGGCACACACTCAAATGTGTACACCACGATGAAGCAGCCCCAAATCTGAGCCCAAGTTGGTTGGCGTCAGCCAGTCATGGATCTTTCTTTGCTGTGTAGATGTACCTGTGTGGCTCTGAAAGCTTGGGGGTTAGTATTTCAAATGGTGGTGGATAAATAGCAGGAACACATTAGACCACACAATGAAGTTGTTTATACTTATTTTGGTAGCTGTCATGGCAGTTAGCGAAGTTTGGATTTGAACATAGTTTCTGAGTAAGAAATGAGGTGATATGGACCAAGATTGATTCCATCACAAAAGTAAAGTGCGACTTTGTAACTGTTAGACGTAGCCTAACACTTACAAGAAACAGCTATGCATTTAAATTGCTAGCCAGAGTATTTCTCTGCAGGACTCTGATTCTCCATGGCCTTGCACCTTTTGCAACCCCTTTACCTTTGTTTAAAGTGGGTGCAAAACATAGCAGAATAAACATTCTCCACTCAAAACTGGTGCTAACCTTTTACATTCACTTTTCAAGATAAAAATAACGCAAGGTACACGTTAGTGGAGAAGCAGACCCTCTATATTTTAAACCCTGCCTAAATTAATGAGATGCCTGGTCTTGTTGTTATTAAAGTTGATGAGGGTGCCAGAGACATTACAGAGAGCAAGATGGAACTGTGCATCCTTTCTTAGTAACAAATCCCTAGTGGAATTAAATAACCTTTCTTCTGAAAAAGAAAGGTTCATGTGTCTGCTGTTAACGTGTCCATATTGACAACACCTATTGTTCCAGTTGAATGTTTCATTATTTCAACTTGGTACAGACTAGGATCGATCTACATTCACTGTTTGAACCCTTCTTTGGGGAATTTTACTCTTATCTCACAAATGACAGACCGATTTCACAAAATTCCACTGCCTCGCTTGCAGGGCAGGTAATTTTATTTCCTTGATGCATAAAGTGTATTAAATCTTTTCATTATACTCCTAATCGTAAGCAGCTTTTATGCTGGAGCTGGGAAGCTTTTGTACTAGCTGTACTTGGTCGGTACTTAGTAATGAATCTAGGAGATTCATATCTTCACTACCTTTGCCGAAGAAATCTGAATTACCACCAGTGGTGAAAGTGAGCGGGTGTGCCCTGGTGCACAGCTCTGGCAAGAGCTGGCTGAGCTGCAGCAAAAACCAGCAGGGAGCTATTTAAGCAGTTGGCAGGGACCCGGGTAGAAATAGGACAACACCTGTAAGAAAGTTTACTTTCACCGCTGATTACCACAGAGATTTTTTCCATCAAGTTCTGGTCTTTATGTAAAAGTAAATATAACACATTTGATAACCGTAGAAAAAATAGAAAATAAAGCCCCAAACTTCTTATATCACAGTTTCTGTACTCCATGTTGGACGTCCTTCTATTTTATCTAAATTTTAAAAGATGCTAGGTTAGCTGTGTAATATAGGATAATCTATACATTTAGTTTCAACAGTAAGTTTATTTTTCTTTGCTTTTGATTCGTTCTTATAAGCTCTGATTAGCCGCAGGCCACATCTACACTGGGAGACCTTTCAGTGGCACAGCTGTAGCAGTGCAGAGGTGCCGCTGTAAGATCTTTGTAGCCGCTCTATTTGAAGGGAGAGAGCTCTTCTGCCAACATAACCCTCCCCCAATGATTGGTGGTAGCTACACCAATGGGAGAGTGTCGTCCACTGACATAGCATTGCTTCTGCCAATGTAATTTTCTCTCTAGGGCAGGACTTTTCAAACTCTGGGTCGTGGCTTATAAAGACAAGATGTTAGCTAGCCACGAGATGCTTTGTTTACCTGCCAGACGATCACAGCTCCCGTTGTTCCCTGCCAATGGGAGCTGCAGGAGGTAGTGTGGACAGGGACACCACTTCCCTGCTACTCCCATTGGCAGTGAATGGTGATCCACCTTGCCAGACTTCACCCTTTCCCATACCTGAGTATCCCATTTTCCTCCTATGCCAGGAGACATGTGCTCTCCTCCATGTCCCCCTCACCTTGATCTCATGCTAGTTATTAGTTTTCTTTCAGTCTGGGTGATAAGTAATTCAGGTTGGCAACTAATTAAACTCCATGGAGAGGACAGGAAGAGCATGGCTAAGGGCGTTACTTGACTAGGTGGCATTAATGGTACCATCATCCAGTTGTTTGCTCTATAGAAATCTGCAGAGCTGATAGCAGCTGTGGCTCTGCTAGTCCGATGACACAGACTCCTTGTTCCCCAACCCATTTTTCTCCTTTTGGTTTTCCAAGTTTCCCCCAAATCAGTAGAGTTCAGGCTGTAGTGTAAGGTGAGTGGCTTGGACGAGGCTGGAAAAGTGACAGAACTGGATTAAAACTCTAATACATTTCATATATTAAATTCTAGGTAGAAGAAGCACTGGAAGCTGTGAAAAACGCAACAAATGAGCAAGACTTAGCAAATCGTTTTAAAGAATTTGGGAAAGAGATGGTGAAACTTAACTATGTGGCTGCTAGAAGACAACAGGTGGGTACGTTTTAAAGCAATGGGTGTGAAAATTCAGTCATATAAAATAACCTGAGTTTTTTTTATCCCATTCAAAGACATGGTTCTCTTATGCTTTGCATCATAAGATCTGCCAATAAGTGTCATACGACCTATACCTTAAGCCTATTCATTTTCCAATTCACAGTTGACTTTTTTCAGATGTAATTATTTTTTAAAAAGGAAAATCTTGAAAAATAATACTAATTTCAGTTAAGAATGGCATAGTGAATAAGAAAGCAAATGAGCAAGAAAAATAAATTACTGGTGACTTCAGACCAGTCCAGGATAGTAGAGTCAGGAGATCGCTATCTGATGATGGTGTGGTGGCCTACATGACATTTTATTTATAAAGAAAGTATTTTCTTTACAAAAATGCTTTGACGGATATCTAAAATGATTGCTTAAAATTAGGCTTCTAAGTTTATAGGTAGGCATCTAAATAAGTACTCTAATTTTTAAAACACCCAACCAATCACAGTAAAATGGAAAACACTACTAATGGAATGCGAGAGACCTGGTAGGAACTCACTCTTCTGAAAATTACCTCATATATTTAGGTTCCTAACTTGAGATACAATTTTTTTAAAAATGTTGACCTTCTTGTGTACAAAGACATGTTTTTTGTTGTGACATTTTAGTTTACAACACGATTTATAAACAATAAACTTTTCTACACCATTTCCTCTGCAGAAAAAGACGCCTGTGTAAGAATATAACCTTATATTTCACTCTCTTCCCACCTGCCAGATATGGCTCTTTCCTTCTCCTTTTGACAGCACGTATGTTTTTAATTCATACATATTTTGTATATTTTCTCTATGTTAATTATTGATTTTTAAATCACTCCCCTGGTATTTAAAGTGTTCACTTTTCCATGAGTTGCCAGCCTCACTTTCTTTTTCTTCTTCCCTTGAGGGCCACAAGGATTCCATGGTATCTTTTTTGTGTGTCTTGCTACTGTGCTTCTAGATTTTTTTGCCCAGAAGTTTCCCTGCGTTTTAAGATTATTAGCATTTTCCTCCATTTTTCCATGTGGCTGACCCATTATAACACAGAGCAAAAATGAAACAAAAGAAAAAAATACAAGTTTTCTTGGGCAGGAGGAACATGCATGTAGTTGTGTCAAAACTGGTAAATTCTGTCATGGATTTCATTGCTACAGAATCATAGAACAACATATACAGGGCCCTGCTTACAGGTGTATATATGAATACATATTGTAACTGTGGGTTTAGCATATTGTATTGCCAAAATTTCGATATATAACTATACAGTGTATTTTATACAGGAACTAAAAGATCCTCACTGTAGAGACGAAATGGCCGCTGCTCGAGGTGCTCTGAAGAAGAATGCTACTATGCTGTACACTGCATCTCAAGCCTTTCTCCGTCATCCTGATGTAGCAGCCACTCGGGCCAACAGAGATTATGTCTTCAAACAAGTACAAGAAGCAATTGCTGGTATCTCTAATGCGGCACAGGCCACCTCTCCAACTGATGAGAACAAGGGGCACACTGGTATTGGGGAACTTGCTGCGGCGCTAAATGAATTTGATGTAAGTATTATACATGTACACAAAATTGCACACCTTTCAGGAAGTCCTCTTTATCGTTTGCCGTACAGAAACTGAACAGACATGCTTGCTTTTGATGCGGTTTTGCTAGGCGGCAGCAAGTGAGCATTAATTTGTAATGAGAAAGAACTCATGCTATTTGTGAACTCTAAACCCTCCAAGCCATTGTTTCTGTTCTTTCTGAGACTGACAGAGGCCAAAAATTCTCACTTTCTTCTGCCTTAGCATCAGCAAAACCTTATCCGGCTAAATTGTTCAAGGCAGTTGGTAGTCTGATTAATCTGCTTGCCTTATTCTGTTAGAGTTGAGTTTTAAGAGCATCTTCATCTACTTTGCTGAAAAAGATAAGCTGTGGTTAAGGATGATTGGGCTGGGATCACGGGAAGATATAAATACATGTCCTTCTCTGAAATGTTGAAGAAGCTATGCCCAACCACTTGTTCATGAGACTCTTACCCCTCATGTCCAGTAAAAATCTCCAGGGAGAGTTTCAGAGAAGACCTTTACTACTAGCTTTTGTGCAGACAGGGTGCCAGTGCCTTCAAAATGTAGATAGAATCTCTACAGAAAAACAACATAACATTAAAAAAACTACCCGCCAGCTTTTCTTAAAGTTGACACATTCCAGGAATGTTTTTCATGCACAGGCAGAAAAACAACATAACATAAAAAAAATCTACCCTCCAGCTTTTCTTAAAGTTGACACATTCCAGGAATGTTTTTCATGCACAGATAGGGTACGTCTACACAGCAGTATTATTTCAGAGTAACAGACGTTATTCTGAAATAACAGAATGTGTGTCTACACTGCAAGCCTTTATTTTGAAATAATGTCTAGCTGAAGGACTTCTTACTCCAACTCATGATAACCCTCATTTCACGGGGAGTAAGGACAGTCAAAAGAACAGTGTTCTTCCTTTGGCTTCCTGTTGTGTAGACAGCACCAAAAGCCGAATTAAGCTATTTTGATGTAAGCTACACAACTTAAGCTAATCAATGTGGGTTTAGCCCTGTTGTGTAGACGTGCTCATAGGGGTCAACCCAGTGTTCAGATCGTTGTGCCAGGGGTTCACATGCTCAGGAGTTATCCCCACAGAGTCCTTGGCACCCTTTGGGGGAAATGAAAACATTATTTGAAAAAAAAATTGATTCTCCAGTTAGGCATATGCCAGGCAATTCTAATACTCCTGCACCTATTGACACACCAAATTGATTACACTGAATATGCACAGAGGAGTTAACCTCACTTCTAGCCTTGACCGTTGCTTCATAGTTCAAGGGACTAATCCTTTGTACCTGCCACAGCCAGCCCGTGTTGGCTTGAGTTCCATTTTCCATGGAAATCTGAGGAAAGGTAGACAGAAAAACTCTATCATGTTTTTTTCTTGTCATTTTATGGAGGGGAAGTAATCAAAATATTTTGTAAACATTTTAATTGACATACAAATGCTTGCCCTTGGTGTTGCATGGGGACTTTACAGGGTGGAGCAGTGGGGAGAGTAGGAGTGAGTAGCATTTGGGGTTGCATAGAGGGAAGGAGTAAATGAGGATGGCTGGTAGAGTCAGGCGGGGGGAAAGGGAGCTTAAATGAAGGGGAGGGGAAGGAGATATGGTGGTGAATGACTGGCAGGGAGACTGATAGAGGGGCCTTTCATCCCCACACTTTCCCTTCTGTGTGTGTACCAGGATCTGGGGGTTCTGAGATCTTCTCCCCTCCCTACCCCAAACCCATGTGATCTGGAGTCTTGGTATATTGCCTCCCTCCTAGGGCCTCTGAGACCTGCTACCTTCTTCCTTGTGTATGTGCCAGGATTTGTAGGCCCCCTATTTGTTTAGGGAGTCTGAACCCCTCACCCATTCCACCCTCATGGGTTGGATTATGAGGGGCCGTGCCTCTTTGGGGCATCTGAGCTCCGCTCCTTGACCTGTGTCTGTGCCACGATCTGGAGGGGACTAACCACTTCATGTGCTTCCTGAGGTTCAAGGGGGCTTGCCTTTCTGAGGGGGGGCAGTCCGAGCTCCTCCGTATATTTATACATCTGAGCTGGGATATGTTGTGCCCCTGCCCTTTGGGAGCATCTGAATCCCTTCCTCTGTGCCTGGATTTGGGGGTGCAGGACTGGTGGCCTCTCTCCCCCCCCATGTCTCTTCATGTAAATGCAAATGCTTGCCCATGTAAGCGTACTTCTGGGGGATACCTATCTTTTTGGAGTGGAGTCTGAACCCCTTTCCCTAGCCTCCCATGGAAGTACATGCCCCAAGTCTGTCTAAAACCCACTCCCTCCTTCTGTATGCATGTGTGTGCCATGATCTGTGAGGCTCTGACTCATCTATGGGAGTCTGATGCTCCCCAACACATCCCTCATGTGAATTGGGTTCTGAGAGTGATTAAGCCCCATTCCCCACCCCCTTCCTGTGAGCTGGGATCTGGGGTGCCTGTCCTTTGAGTGGAGTCTATCACCCCACCCTCTTACGTGGGCCATGTAAGCCACAATCTGGGGATTCCCTGCCTGTCTGGCTGGGGATCTCCAAACAGTCATGCTGGGCATGTGTATCAAAAGCACATGGCTGACACCAGGTGAGGAGCAGAAGGTGGCCATGCTTGACACAGAGCAAAAACTCTCCATAAAGAAGGAAGGGGAACGGAAAGGCCCACTGACAGGAATGGACACTTTTCTCCTCTGAGCTATGGTTTTCAGGCTGCATTCCTGGCAATTGCTTATTCTCTTTGGGTATGTCTACACTAGCCCCCTAGATCGATCTAGGAGGCGAATGAGGGTGACTGAAATTGCAAATGAAGCGCAGGAATTAAATACCCCGTGCTTGATTTGCATGTTCCCGGCTGGTCGCCATTTTAGAAATTGACTAGCCCGAAGTACCTGCCCATGTCTACATGCGGCAGTGAAATGGATTTCGAAATAAAGCCCTAACTCGAATTAGCTGGTATTCCTCGTGCTTGGTCTTTCCAGTTGTGCTCCATTTGTCTGCATTTGGGCGAATAGGAGCAGAGGAAGGAATGGGGGGGTGTGTTAAAGGGAGGTAGCAGGAGCAGAAGGGACAGGAGCCATATAGGGAGCGCATTGGAGCATTGTAGGAGTGGGGCTGAAGCCAGGAGATTGGTGGTAGGAGGAAGCTGGAGGTCGGAGGTCAGGGCAGAGAGGGGAGCTGAGTGTGAATAAGAACAGAGGGGGACACATTTTCTACACTCAGAAATGGATGCCGAAGTGTGTAGGTTTAAGATGAACATCAGTACTCTGTTTTCCACATTTTCTATCATGTACATTTCCAGTGGTTAACCAGTAAGGATGTCAGCAGTTAACCGGTAAGCATCACCCTTACTGGGTAATGCTTACCAGTTACCGGTTTAACGGCGACTCAGCTTGGCTGGAACACCCTCCCCCCCAATGCAGTCAGAGGGCTGCTCCAGTCTGGTCAGGCCTGCCTTACTGCATTGTGGGCAAGGAGAGTCTCG